AATGAACTTTGTCATGATATTCTAGTTTATTGAGATGCACCTGTATATTATTTCCCTTTATTGCCATGAACACACACATTGTAGTTTATTTATAATCTATCCTATTTACACAATCCTGCTGTCCCAAATAATCACTAGAGCACCAAATGTGGATTAATCTGCCACTGAAAATACTTCCAAACAAATCCAAATTTGTTAAAAACTGCAGGCCAGGTGTTTTAGCAAATCACTTTTAAAAATTGTCTATATATTTGTGAGCCGTTTTTAAAGACGTATGTCTTCATTATGAACTAATGGGCTTTGAGCTGAGCGCCAGAGTAGGAAAGTCAGAAACTACTTAGAGACAAACTGATGCATTGTTGGTTTTGGTGTTCTTATAGGATAAATATAATTGTATGAGGTAAAAACCTCTAAATTCTTGGGGCAAGTGCTTCTAAGTAATACAATTGTAAACCCAGTGTTTGTAAACATTCCTGGATCTGTAAATGCTAAACAAAGAAAGTGGATTAAGCCACACAACACTAACTTGCTAGGCCTGCTGTTCCAGCCAGGATTCATGTGTCAGGTAACATTAAATTAATTACCCATGGACTTTCTGCTTATTTTCTAGTTTGTCAAAATATGCTGTTGTTCTAATGTTAGCTATAGTAGCAGGTTGTTAGTTTTGTTAACCTACAACATAGATTACATTACTTGCTGCATCACACTATGTCATGGTATTGGAGTTCTCCTCTTAGCTCGTAGTTTCTTTATCTTCACACTGCAAAATTGTTTTTTTGTGTTTTAGCAGAAAGTGCAGATGGACAAGCATGCTGGAGACAGCAAAGGACACTCACGCTATTTAAACAGCAGCAATAACAAACACCTAAACCCCTCTGACAGGAGAGATCACAGGGACTATGGTTACGATAGAGATTCAGGAGACCACAGGAATCACTACCAACAAGACTGGAGAGACGATAGAGATCACAGAAGTAAATATGACGACCACCACCACAGAAGCCACAGGACTGGGCAGGAAAATATCTTCTTGAAAGAAGAGATGAGAAAGGAGAGGATGCTCATAACGGTATCCCGTGGACTGACACCTCCTCCAGATATCGGGGTTGTGGACGAGGTGAACAAGGAGCAGCAGGCCATTGGAAGCCATAGCAAAGTCAAAGTGGAAGACGCAGACAACAAGGGGAAATCATCCAAGGACAGCAGAGAAAAAGTAAAAGATGAAAGCAGTGATAGTAGTGACAACGACAAAGGAAAAATACCAAAAGCAAAATCATCTAAAAAGAAAAAGAAGAAGGACAAAAAGAAGAAGAAGGACAAGTCCTAATTTTTGTATTGTGCTTGTCAGTTTCCATATCCATACCATGTATATATTGATCCCTGAGATGATTATGGTTCACGATTCTACACTTGAAGGTTTGAATTTTATCATTACACTCAAGGGAACCACATTGTTTTCTTTTCAATGTTCTGTTCTTGTTGTTTTTGTTTTGTTTCTTAGTGTGATCAGAAGACATCCCTCAATTCTGCTAGCTTCCTCCCTCTTAGCAAATAAAAAAATGAAAAAAAGGGAAATGTTCCACTCTCAAAAGGGTTGCTTCCAGTGTTTGTGCCAACCAAGGTCAAACAGATCCCAGCCTGATCTCTACTGGACACTGATGACATTGATATAAACCTGTTTTGGCGGCTGTTACATTTGGTTAAGTGGCTTCCTACGCATTTTTACATGACAATGAATATGTTGATGTATGGCGTGTATTATTATTAGTCCCTCAGATCCTACTTTTATATTTTAATTAAATGTTTAAGAAAAAAAATAAATTAAGCAGTGAATTAATTGTCTACATATTCCTTTCTCATGTTTTCCGAGGACCAACAGCATTGTGGTGTTAGAAATGTAATGTGTATTTTGCATTTGAGTTCCATTTTCTTCTTAGTTCATTTTTATCTGAAATACAAGATAACACTGTCAATATGTCACCTGTGGTGATATTCCAGATGAAAGGAACATACCTATGTTTACAGTTTTAAAAAATAGTTAAATAGTCAATTACATTGTGGTGGGAAATGTAATTGTTGCCCACACACAACTTTAACTTACCATACCTTAAAAAAGTTAAATATTGCAGTACACAGTACAAGCAGATATTGTATTTCTAGATCAAACACGTTTTATAAGGAGCACAGTTTAGACCTGCTGTATTTGAAGAGTGTCCTGAGATTTATGGTTTGGTGCTATACAAATACATTTGAACTGAATTAAATCTGATATTTTGCTAGAAAGCAAATGAATGCATGTCAGTTAACATTTTACAGATATGCTCAGTATCAACATTTTTGTGACTTGCCAATTATGTTAATTAACTTTCTCATGATGTCAATAGAAAATGTAATCTGGCCAGCATTATTATTCTTTTGAAATGTGTTAGCTGTTGTGTCTGTCTATATATGTGAACTTACTTTCTAGGAGACAGGATTATTTTGCCAACACAGTATTTCTGCAGCTACAATGTCAGTATGGTATTGGGATTGGGTTCCAGCATGCCCTGTGGAAACCAACGCCAGCAGGCAGTCAAAAAAATAAACGCAACTTCTGGGATTTCCCTTGTGCCCACCAGAAGAATGGAGACGGAAGATAGAACCATTCAAGTGTTATTGTATAGTACTATGCTGGTACAATGCCTATAAAAAGTATTCACCCCCCTTGGATGTTTCACCCTTTTTATACATGAAATCATGGTCAATATAATTTGGCTTTTTTGACAAGAATTTGCAAAAAAAAAAAACACTTAAAAATATATAAGGTAAAGAAG